GAGAGAGAGAGAGAGAGAGAGAGAGAGAGAGAGAGAGAGAGAGAGAGAGAGAGAGAGAGAGAGCTGGAGCATGCAGCATGCAGCATGTCAGTGGCGGGGAGCACAAGGGCTGGCGCTGACCTCCAAATTCGAATTCCAGGGTCAAGGTGTCACGCCAAGGAAGGCCAAGTCGGTCAGTTTCAGAAACGTCACAGTCGGGTACCTTAGGAGTCAAGTCCCACAGGCACCCGGTAAACGGTCACATCCAAAAGTTGCATTCTGTAAGAAAAAGTCACGTCTCATATTGCGAAGTCGTACTGAAAAGTCATGTCCCACAGGCAAAGGACACTTCTTCAGGCAAAAAAGTTGTCCCAGAGGCAAGAGTCACCACCCACAGTCAAAAGTCAAAAGTCAATCTTCCACAGATGAAAAGTCGCAAATCACAGACTCGAACAGCAGCACACCAATGAAAATTTGGGAAAATTTTGGGAAAAGTACCAGGCAACGACATTCTGAAGCAAGCAGGCCGTGGGCATTATGTGGTACCAGCCGGGTCCAAGTCGAGCCAAAGGAAGCAGAGGCTGGGACGAGTTGAGGCTCGGTCCAAGTCAATATAAGGACGGGCCCAGCCACATTTCAGGGAGATAGATGGCTCATTTGTGAGAGGTGTGAAAGTGCAGCTGAAGCGCTTGTGCACTATCTGCGAGTAGCATGTGCGCGAGAGCCCTGCTGGGCAGAGCTGCACTGAGAGGGAAGGCGGCCATAGCCGCATAAGTTAGTAGTAGTGAAACGGTTTTCACCTTTTAGCAGTAGCGGATGCAGTACCCAGGGTTCGATCCCTAGACCTCACCCTACCCATGTACAGTATCTGTGTAGACCCCGAGAATTGAACCTGTGACCTGTGTATTCGTAGGCAGTTGGTAGACMTGTCGTAGGTCCRTAGACAGCAGGGGTTCGATCTGTAGGTCTATAGCGTAGGAGTCTTAGTGAGTTCTGGAAGCTTAGCTGTAGACCTTCTAGAAGGTAGGCAAGTGGGCAAGTGGTCAAGTGGTCAAGTGGTGAGGCAAGTGGTGGACTAAGCCGCAGTGCAACAGCAGTGCAACGGCGGTAGGATAGCGGTGAGTCCACAGTCAGTCAACGGAAGGTCCAGTCAGTCCCAGTCCGGTCGAGCAAGTACCACAGGGGGACTGTAAGCACCAAGGGCCGATGGCAAAGGGCAGACCAACGAGTTTCTGAAGTATAAATCAAGAGGCAGCGCCCAGCCATTCATCCATTCCTGCGGGAGCCATGAGGAAGCGCTGCCACAGCGACTTGTGCAAGGAGGTCTGCAGATGAGCCCGGAGGACGCAGTGGGCAAGAGAGGAGTTAGCATAGCGATAGGTTAGAGGCAGCCATAGCTGCCATGGCTGTAGTTAGTAGTGAGTGTGTGTGTGTGCTCGAGTGTTAGAGTGATGCGTGTGGGATATCCAGGGTGATCCAGTGTATGTGAACAGTGAGATGTTTGGGCGCTAAAGTCGCCATAGCCAATTGAG